TAATCGTCTCTAACAATGCCAAAATAGGTTTCTCATGCAAATGCCCTTAACGAGAGAACAAAGGGATGGAAAAATCCGAAAACCTATCACATACACACCGAAGGTTCTTTACATTACCCAGTGCCAGTCTGAGAGCATTATTATTACTCTTTTGTTTTAAAGGAATCTTATATACTAGAACCATTCTTGATTCTGCCTTCTCTTTGGGATGATGTATAAATGCAGCCATGCTCTTACTAGGGGCCTCCCTGGCGCTCAGACCACACATCACCCTGGATGGCCTCAATGGACCATCGTGCTTTGAACAGATGCCGTGGTTGAAAGGATTTTCTCAATCACCCGCCTTCATCTACACATACTGCAATTACACATGGAAATCAATCTAGCGTTCTTTGGGAAACCCTCAGCCTGGCAGGGGCACTTCCCTAGGACAGGGTGTATGGGCTCCAGTGTAAGCCACCCCCCCATCTTTTCTGACATAGCACACTGGGCTCCTTTATGCCCCTACCTGCGCCCCTAACTCTGCAGGTAGTTAGGTTTTTGTTTTTTAAAGAAATTGTATTCTCTCTCTCCCTCCCTCCCTCCTTCCCTCCCTCCTTCCCTCTCCCCCGGCTCTCTGTATATGTGCCAGTCCTAGGGCTTGAACTTAGGACCTGAGCACTCTCCCTGAGATTTTGTGCTCCAGGCTAGTGCTCTACCACTTTGCACCCTCCTCCACTCCTGGCCTCTCTGGTGGAGAGATAAGAGTCTCATGGACTTCCTTGCTAGGGTTGGCTTTGAACCCTGAACCTTAAACCTCAGTCCCCTGAGTAGCCAGGATTACAGGCGTGAGCCACTGACGTCCAGCAAGTTTTATTATCTTTAAGTAGTTGTACCAGAGGTTTCATTTCAACATGTCAGACTCTAAGTACAATGGCCCTCAATCAATGTCACTCCTATCATCATTCCCCCCCACCTCTCCAGTGCCATCCATCCCCTCAATTTACCTAGCTCCATTTTCACATATGTCCATCGAATATGATGACTGCATTCACTTACCCTTCCTCTCGCCATTCGTCTGCCCTTCCTCCCTGACCTCACCCATCTCCCAACAACACAGCTTCCTGGAATGCATTTTGTTAGGCTGTCAGTTGTTCAAAGGAGTTACGCCATTGCAGCCCTCGCCTGTGTACATCACACGGCAGCCCATGGATTTCTGAGCAAGCTCGTGGTGCCCCACCTCTGACCTGTGCTTCCGCAGAACTTTACTAGGAATGCAAAGGAAGTGTTCCAGTGTGGATGCGAGCACGCTGCCTGCTCCCACGTGCCCACGGCCCCCAGCTGGACCAGGTGCTGCTTCTGATTCTAAACTTGGGCCACACACTGTCCTACTCTCCCTTTACTGCTGGCAACTCCTCCCTGGGAGCAGTCCAAATCCTGCCACCCCCAGACAGAGACTCCTCTGTTCTTATTTCCAGGGATCTCATGACAAGCCCCACTGGGGGGACCCTGACCACCACCCCAATCTCTGCCCTCCTCATATGATTTCTGTTAGGTGGGAGTCCCCTGAGGGGCAGGGGGCGGAGTCTATTACTCACTGGGAGGGATGGGGAGAGGAAGGATGGGGAGGGGAAGGATCTTACAGGGCCTGGGTTCTTTGTACATCTTTAGATCTGCACCGAAGCCAAGCCATCCCTTCATGCTCTCTGGTCTTAGAGATTTCTGGGCCATGGAGCAGAGGCTGGGGATTGACAAGACAGTTCCTGACTTTGCTCTAGAAGGTCTGGGCCTAGTGGTGGTGGAATGCTTCGTTGTTCTGAGTCAGTGCCACAACAGGTCAGCCTGATGCTCCCACAGTGCCTTGCGTGCCTTCATGACCAGGGCCTGCTGTCACTGAGCTGTCTCTCCATGTTCTCAGGCCCGGGAATCACAAACGGGCAGAAACTTTTACTTATCTGATCTCTCCCTCCTCTTTTTCATCATAATAGGAGAATATGCACAGTTAGAAAAAGTCTCTTTTCCAGCTTCCCACCTACCAGGCAGTGGCTAGTAAGGTTTAAGTGGAAGTCATTGAATATAGCTTCTGGAAAAGGTTTTTCTCTTTCTTGTTTTTCTTCCTTTCCTTTCCTTCTTTCTTTCTTTTCTTTTTCTTTTTCTTTTTTCGGTACCACTTCTGGAGTTTAAGCTCAGGGCCAAGGTGCCATCCCTTAGCTTTGTTTGCTCAAGGCTGGCACTCTACCACTTGAGCCACAGCTCTACTTCTGACGTTTTGGCAATGGATTGGAAATAAGAGTCTGAAAAACTTTTCTGCTCAAGCTGGCTTCACATTACAGTCCTCAGGTCTCAGCCTCCTGAGTAGCTAGGATTACAGGTGTGAGTGAGCTTCCAGTGTCTCATGTGGGAAAGCTTTTAAAAGGTATTTAATTCATCTGGTAGTGACTTTCCTTCCTTTTTCCTTCTTGCTGCCTAGAAGCTGATCAAGATGGCTGGATTTTGAGCAGCCATTCTGTGACCAGAATGTAATCCTGGATCTAGCAGGACATACTTGGGCTTGATGGGAAGAACGATGATGTCTGGGACAGAGATTATACTGGGGAGTCATCAGCCAATCCCATTGTCAATTTGCCCATTACATGAGAGAAAACTATTATCCCTAAGCCATTTGCAGAAGGTTGTTTGTCTTATTACTGAGAGCCAAATGCAGTTATGAAATTAGTTGAAGGCTATCATAGTAGATAGTATTTTTATGACAAATAATAAAGGTGCCAGTTAACTAATCTTGAAAATTCCCACAGTCTAATGGGAAGAAACCATAAACATCTCACTTAACAACTGACCTAGGCCCTTGGCCAGATAATTTATAGTCTGTTCTCCAACCTCACAACAACCACCCATTTTGCAGATGAGGAAACTGAGACTTGGAGGAAACAAAGCACTGACCTGAAGTTATCCAGCTATATAATAATATGCTTATTCTTGAAGTTAGTGGACCTGCCTGACCCCAAAACCCATGCTCTTAGTCTTTCCTGCCTCCAACCTCTTCTCCCACCCTAAACACACACAAAGTCCCTCTCAAATCACTCTGTGAATATGTCTTCAGGTTTCCTAAAATGGCAAAAATTCCTGCCAGTACTTCTGCTTACTACCCCACTGGTTCCAGAATGCTACCATCCACTTTCTCTGCCTTTTGACAAAAATAGTTTCCAACTCAAGATGTCTAATTATTTGCTTTAGTGAAGAAAAACTGGGGAAAGTGTGATTTTGAGGGGCAACATGGAAATATTAAAACCAATGACAAGAAAAACAACAGCCACATTGAGGGCTGGCGGAGACTTTTTTCCTGTAGTGTATATGCTACAATTATCTGCTAATGAGCAATTAATTCTCTGTTGAAGCCAATTCAGATTTGTTGAAGGACTCTGCAAGTCATTCACTGGCACACACAACTTCGTGTCGGACTCTGTGCAGCATGTGTGTGTGTGTGTGTGTGTGTTTGGGTGTAATTTTTTTTTTTATAAAAACAGCAAGCTTCATGGAATTCTTTAAACACTGTAGGAAGTAACTAATATATATCGATCATTTATCCCATGCTAGATGCTTCTGTGCTGCTCTAACTGATCTTCCACACACAATCCCAAGGCCTAGGCGGTTCTACCCCCATTTTCACAGGTAAAAAAAAAAAATCACAGAGGTCCAAGGATGGTCATGAAGCTGCCCTCAGGCCATGAGGCCAACAAGGGGTTCTAGACTACTCCCGGAACACCCTCGGATAATCCAAGGTAACTTAAGAGGAAATTGATTACTATTGTAATACTCTTTTTGTTTTCTCACATTTCATCTCCTTTCAAATGCATGCAAATTTTGTATTATATTCTTTTCTGTAATATAGACTATAATATAATCATGTTATGTTCGTCTTAGAGCAAATGTACCAAATTATTTATCAGCTGAATTATTTAACTTTCTGGAAACTGATCCTTGGAACAGAGGTGACTTGTTGCTTGGCTATGTTTTTGTAAATGTTCAGCCCCAGCCCTCAACTACCTGGATGAACCCTGGATTGAGAAGCACAAAGTCTAACTTCATGGGTCTAATTATTATTATGATTATCATTATTAATATTACTTATAACAGTTCTGGGGCTTGAATTCAGGGCCTGGGATGTTTTGCTCAAGATTAATACGAACACTTGAGCCACAACTATAATTCTGGCTCTTTGGTGGTTAATTAGAGGTAAGACTCTCACAGGCTTTTTTCTGCCCAGACTGGGTTTGAACTGGGATCCTCAGTTCTCAGCTTCCTGTGTAGTTAGGATTGTAAACACGAGCCACTGGCATCTGGCCAGGTCAAATTATTAAGATGTGTTTCAATACCTGGCTCAGGGTAGCTGCTGTGTTTTGATATGGTTTGAGTGGATGGAGGCGTGGTTCATGGTGAAATGGAAAATCTTTAAGAGATGGCACCTAATGGGAGGTCCTTAGGTCATCAGAGACAGGGCCTTATTACGGTGGTTCTTGTGGGACCCTGGATTCATTCCTGGGCCAGTGGGTTGTTAGAAGAATGGGCCTGACCCTGAACTGTTCTGTAGCTTCCTGTCTGGAGTCTCCCTTCCCCCAGCTCAGGCTCCCACCACAACATCATCTACCACCAGGCCCTCACCAAAGGGCTTCATCTTGGCGTTTTCTCCAAAACTCTGAGTTAAACAAACCTTTTTTTCCTTTATAAAGTTTCCCAGCTTCATGCATCTTGTGACACTACTAAAACTCAGATGGATCCAATAGTGTATCTTTGTTTTGTTAACCATAGTCTTCAGGAGGTGAATGCTGTCACATCCATAATATTAATTATTTCAACCCAACGAGAGTTTATGATGTGCCAGACTCAGTGGCAGCCATGAGGCTCATCCAACCTCAAATGAGGTACTGACCCAGAACAACGGATCAGGGAGGCTCAGCCACCCAGCTGAGGGACTGGACTCCACTCCACCCAAGGCCCAAGCAGAGGAGGCTCATTTCACTGACCTTATGAAGGTACGAAAGCCGGTGGGTCCCAGCTTCATAGTCCCCTTGATTCCCAGGAATCGGATAAACAGATTGGCCATCCTGTCCACCAAGCGCAGGTAGTTGAACTGCTTTGCGTACTTGGGGAACACCTGTTTGAGGCAAATGGAGGGCAGGTGGGCCTCAGGGCTGCTGTTGGCTCCCGCAGCGTTCTTGCTGTCCACATCTTCCTTTCTGGCTACTGTTTTTCCAAGCTGCTGAGACCTGAAGTAATAAGGAATTCATGATATAGCCTCTGATGTCTCCATTTGAGATTTCCAATAACCCCAGGGGATGTGTACTGCTGTGGTTTTTATTTTACAGACCTCAGAGAGGTGACTTGCCCCAGGCTCCCACCGCTCGTGTGCAGCAGCGCTGGGCTTGAACCCAGATGCAGTCGCCACTGGAAATGTATGCTTCTACTAGGCTATCAGCCTGTTTTCCCAATCCAGGAAACTTCCTTTACTGTACTCATGGCCCTAAGAGAACACTCGGCTATGAAGCAGGCTGGGTTTGATTTCAAACTCCTACTTGTGGGTAGTAATTGAATAATTAAGAAATATAAAAATCTCATTGAGAGCCTGGCACGAAGCCAGAAGCACAGTTCACTGAACAATTTGCAAAGATGCATCAGTTACCCAATTCTAGGAACAGGAACAATTACATTTCCTGGCTTAACTGTTTTCTTTATTTGGAACTCGTACCAAAAAAAAAAAATGATCAGAATGTTGTGATTCCTTAGTCTGCATATTTTATTCAGACATTATTCTGAGAGTCAAAGTTAGCAGTTAATAATTCTCAAATATCCACTGCTAACCCAGAATATCCTTTTCTTCTCCAGAACTGTCTAGCACTTTCTCATCACTCCAGATGTGTCCTCGCTTGAATGTCCCCGCTACCTGCCAGCTACCCAGGCAGGAAAACAGCATCAATGCGGGGCCCTGCTCCACCTGTCCTGCCTCCACAGCCAGTTTTACCGCCTTGGTCTTGAAACCTGCTCTCACTCTGCCCTGCCTGGCCTGATTTGCAACGTCCTGTCTTCCTGACTCCATCTTGTATACTGCTACCTAAAGGGAACCTCTTCTATTTATTTTTATTTTTTGGTGGCAGTGCTGGGGCTTGAACTCAGGGCCTTTCATGCTTGCTTAGCATTTTTTGCTCAAGGCTTTCATGCTTGCTTAGCGTTTTTGTTCAGGGCTGGTATTCTACCACTTGAGCCAAACCTCCACTTCTGGCTTTTTGGTGTTAATCGGAGATAAGAGTCTTAGGGATTGTTCTGCTAAGGCTGACTTCAAATTATGATCCTCAGACTTCAGCCTCCTGAGTAGCTGGGATTCTAGGTATGAGCCACCAGCTTCAGACTGGGGCTATCTGGGGGAGGCAATCCCTTGCTAACACTCTCTACTTTGCACTCCTTATTCAAGCACTCAAGGTTTGAATTCTTTTCCAGCCTCATTTCTAGTCCCTGCCTGGCCGGGCATAGCCTTTCCTTCTGGACTTTGAACACTGACCCTGTCTGCACCTTGCTGCCCAGGCCCAGGCCTGTGAGACCCTGGTGCTCACTCTGCTCCCAGTTCCCTTCCAAACTCAGTACCTCTCTGTGCTTGTAGCCTGCTTCCCTTTTGGGGCCCTGTTCTGCTGGGGCCAAAGGAAGCCCTCTGTCACCTGTGGGGACAGGACCCTAAGCCTATGAGACATGGTGGGTAAAATGCATCCTGTTTGACGATCTCATCCAGGGAAACTAGACTCATGCTCCATGGTACCAAACTCAATACCATTCTCTTCATGGAGAATGTTTCAGTGCACCTACATCCAGGAAAACACAATGTCAGGCCCCACACTGAGCCTGGCACAGTCTGTCACTTTCAGGACCCACTGAGTCTCCTTGGCCATGGATGCCCACTCTGTTCCTTGGTTATGTCCTCCTGTTTCCTGAATCCTGCCTGGGCCACTCTGGTTTTGATGCCAGCCTCTCCTGCTATGCTGTGAGCTTCCTGAAGGCAGAGGCCACACTTTATCCAATGCTCCTCCGGAGAGGGCCTTGCACGTCGCAGGTGCCTGGGGACTGCTCCGCTGGATTTGGCGAAGTGGGAAAGTTTGCTTTGAATAGCAATGTGAGCCCTAAAGAAAATATCAAAGTTCTGCTGCTTTATATCTTATAAACCCTTCTAAATGGGAGAAGTCATTCAAGAAATATCTTCCCTGACAATCCTGTCCAAAAGGATTGTCTCATGCCAGTCAAAAGAGCCTGTCTCCAGGAAGATCTCCCCAGAGTGAAGAGAGGGGCCCAGAAAACCTGCTCACTGCTCCTTCTAAGTGAGTCTCAACTCTAGTCTCAAAGAAGGACAGGCAGAGGACAAAACAAAGGAAAAATCCCCTTGAGAGCTCACCAGTGTGGCGGCTTTGGGAAGACAAATGCTCCCCCTGTAAAGGGAAGGAGCCGGATCCCCCAGGAGTGGTAAATGTTCCCTTGGGTGTGCCACTTTCCTTCAGCAAAAGTGGTTTTGTCATTGTCACCTTGAACACTTCAGATAGTAAATACTAGTCAGGTGGTGACTTTTTAGACGAAAAGAAGTGTTTCCTCACTAAGATTATAAAGAAGAAAAATGCAGGAAAAGAAGTGACACTCTTACAGGAAATTAGCTCTTCAATTGCTGGAGAAGTGGCAGATGCCGGCAGTATTAGCACTCAGGAGGTTTTTGTGAAGGGGAAATATACAGTTTGAACACACCAAACAACAATGAAAACAGCTCTGAGAATAACTCAATCCTCAGAGCTGTCCCACATTTGTGATTTTGTTTTGCTCTTTCTGCACCTTTGCATATAGTCTTTGATTCTATCCCTGGTAGGGAAACTGAGACTTGGCAAGGTGTCGCTCTCGTTGCTCTGGCCGATTCTGAATTGGGCAGGATTATGAATCAGTTTTTCTAATACAGCCCTCAGTCTGCCTTGTTACCTCCTCATTTTAAAGCACATCACACATGATTCACAGTGGGGCCATAAAACCTAAATGTAACACGATGGTTTATTTTTAATTACAAAGAACTTTTAAATTGTAATTGATAGCTGGGTGCCAGTGGCTCACACCTATAATCCTAGCTACTTGGGAGGCTAAGATTGGGAGGATTGTGATTTGAAGACACCCTGGGCAGAAAACTTGATGAGACCCTTTGCTGAGAATTGCTAGATACAATAGACAATAGATAGATACAATAGAGCTGCCTTAAATAGGCAGCTCTCTGCCCAGGCACATGCCCTTGTGGGTACAGAGACCCTGTCTTAAAAAATAATCAGCACAAATGAAGGCTGGAGTTATGGCTCCGCATGTAGTCAGAGCAACTGTCATGAAAGCATGAGGCTCTGAGTTCAAACCTGAAGAAGGAGGAGGAGGAAGAGGAGGAGGAGGAAGAGGTAATTTGTGCTCCTTGTAGACATTTTGAGACATATCCAAAGGAATCAAAATCACTTCTAATGCCCCAGAGTTTGAAGATACATGCATTAGTGTTTTGATGTCTATAGTTATCAATAGGAAAATATTACATTAAATTACATTAAATATTACATTAAAAACTTTGTGCTCACAATGAGATGTACAAGTCGTTATGTCGAAAAACAAACTTTACAACTTTGGTGTGGGGACGGTGGGTGGTGGGGGGATACGAAGGGATGGGAAGGGGAAACAAAGCAGGAGGCTGCAATGCTTGATAAGAAATGTGCTCATTACCTTACCCATGTAATTGTAACCCCTCTGTACAGTATTTTCACAATAAAATATATTTAAAAAATAAATAAAATGGAAATTCACAAGAAAAAAAAAAACTTTGTGCTCATCCAAAGTATCTTCTCATGGCACTTAGGTCAGATTTCACGAGCACATTTCCCATGGACATGTATATATTCCATATTAAGCCTGAACAAGAACATAATTAATTCCTTCTTCACTTAGATACTTAGTGATATATGAACTGGAGTGTGTTTAAAGACAGCTTGGTGAGCATTTTCCTTTCTAAGCAATGTGCTTCTTTTCCCAAATACCAAATGCTACAGCTACAGTGGCTTTGGAGATCATTCCACCCAACAATGTCATTTATTTTTGTCATGTAAAACATACACGAGAGTCTACCCAATTCACCATTTTAAAGTGTGCAGTTTGGTGGCATTTAGGACATTCATGAGGTTATATCATCATCATCATCATCATCATCATCCTCATCACTACCTAGTTCCAGAACATTTCATAGCCCTATCATTTTAGAGAAGAAACTGAAACCCTGGTCAGCAGGGACATTAGTAACAATAGATGTTTTGGAGATAAGAGTCTTACAGACTTTCCTGCCTGGGCCGGCTTTGAAACGGAATCCTCAAATCTCAGCCTCCTGAGTAGTTAGGATTACAGGCACCTGGCACCAGTGAACCGCTTAATTAATGTATCCAGGGTGGTGGCCTCAGCTAGGCCTCCACACCTACTAGTTTCCCAGTGAATAGCTTCCCCCGCATCCACTCCCTCCCACCCCCCCCCCCCCCACTACATCCTGACTCAGCAGAACGAGTCTGTGTTCTTTTGCAGGTTTCTGGGTCTACTGACATTGAACATCCCTATTCTTCTAGAAGTCCCGTCGGGAGTCTCAAGCCCACCAGCCAGGCGGTTTTATTCACCTAGATGAAGCGCTAACAATGTAGCTGATATATAAGCAGGGATGAAACAATGAGAAATGGTATCTTTGCTGGAGATAATTGCAGTGATCACATTGAGAGCCAAGCCATGGCAAATACTGTAAAATCCTGTTGTTACTTAATAGCATTTTAATGGAAATGTTGAGCTTATGAAATGAAAGCGACTGGTAAAGAAAATATAAATCAAGCTTATGAGTCCTTTGGGATCAGTTTGGTTTTTTTTAAAAAATGAATTGGGTATCTCCTTGATTCATTAAAACAAGGCAAAGAATTCTGGAATATCTTGTCTATTAACATTTTTTTTCAAATTAAATGGAATTCTTTTTCAAATGAAATGGAATTCCTTTTCATTAAAACTTGAAACGTTAACCAGGTGTTGGTGCCTCATGCCTATGATCCTAGCTATGCAGGAGGCTAAAATCTGAGGATCACAGTTCAAAGTCTGCCTGGGCAGGAAAGTCTGTGAGACTCTTATCTCCAATAAATGACCAAGAAAAAGTCAGAAGTGGAGCTGTAGCTCAAGTGGTAGAGCACTAGTCTTGAGTAAAAGA